AATTTTGGGGTTGTAGTGGGAGAGTTAGTCCAAATTACATAGTTCACTTTTATCAGGAGTGAACTCTAGAAAGTTTATAGTACAGAAGAGAAAATGATTAGTAAACTCCACTTAATGTTCTCATCCTTCCCATTAAACGTGTGCATACTGTCTTTTTATATGTCACAGGAAAGTATGATACCGGTCATTATAAGCAAATTCTAGACGGTATCTGCAAAAGCAGAGGACATCTCTCACTTTTACTAGTCATTCTGAATAGTACCTGCATAATACAGGCATCCTTTTGAAGACAAGCTCAAGAAATTACAAAGGAGCTCACAGCACCTCTGCCTCTTTTTCTTTTCTTTTTTTTTTATCTCCATCATCTGCTAACAAAATGCAATCTAGGATTTTGTTCAATTGGACTTTGTCAGGAAACTCTTCTTTGGAGAGTAGTTATTGTTAATTTCAGGGTCTTGTTATTATGAACCAGACATACTTATCTAGTTAATACAAGACGTAAGGGCATCTAACAAAACTTCCCATTCAGTGTTGAAATGATGCAAAGCACAGCCCACATAGGGTGAACTTCTGAACATTCTGGGCCATGTTTGCGGGAGTGTGTGCAATAACTGGATCCTTAGTAAGGTTTTGGGGACTCTCAGGAACATGGGCTATACTGGATTGCTTCCCATTGACTGAGACTTTTTTTGAAACCCTTTTCCTTGGGCTAAGAAAGATGAAATTCTACCATTGCGAATAATGACACAAACTTCTTTTAACTAATATCCTAAATTTCCTAATTTATTTCCATAATATTCACATCAGGGAGTGAATTATTTCTCAATAACTGAAATGAATCAATGAATAAATAAACCTCCTCTTAAAAGGCTTCATTCTGAGGGACAAAAATTGTGGCAGAATTTTTTTTAATGTGCAGTTTCATGGAGCTGTTGTTGATTTCACAACCGTGCTGTCTGCCGGCAAGTCCCGTGCTGCCTCTTTGTGAGTTATTATAACCAAGTTGTCAAATAATATGTGGTCATATTATAAGAATGTTTTGTAGGTAAGTGGAAGAGAATAATAAAACATTGCTATAGTTTATGAGTGTCCGTTCCTATTCCAGGCAATTAATATTTATCATATTTAATCTTCACAACAAACATCAATATTGATAGTAGTGTTTTTTTCCACAAATTACAAACTGCGTTTCAGAAAAAAAAATTACATGCCTAAGTTCAGCTAATAGATATCTGTAGTATATTTTACTATACTCGTCCGTGTTGATTGTTTCTCCTTGAGGTGCTTCTCTGTGATGGAGAATTACACATCTGACTCTTCAGAGTTCAGGCTTGATCTCATGACTTGCTTTGGCCAGTGAAATGTGAACAGAAGTAGTGTATGTCACTTCTAGGCAAAAACTTTTAAGAGCCAACATTGGGTTCACCATTTTGCTCTGTCAGGAGAGAGAGCATTGTTGAAAATAGAGAGTGGTGAAGTGATATGGAGGAGAGTTGCAGCCAACTCAGTATAGACATGTAATAGATGATAGAAATAAACCTTGCTTGCCAGCCCATGACGTAATTGGAATCCTTTCTGTACTATAGCATAACCTTTCCTGACTGACACAGTACCAGAGACAGGACGTATGCTCAACTCAGGTTCTTCTTAAAACCCATGCTCATGCTGCTCTTTTTCTCTTAAATGAAATAAACCTGTTAGCATTAGCATTATTTATCAGTTGTCTTATTGACTGTATACCCTATACTTGTACATTTAGTTTTACTAATTTATGCTCTTAACTGACCTCATCCTATTTTTACATTTTTCTAGGCTAACAAGTTATTAGCCGTAGTTGTGTGGATATTAATGGACATTACTGTAATTGTAGAATTTAGAAGCTGAAAGTTACGTTTTGAAATATACTTGTTTTATTCTGCGTTGCTGGATTTTATAAAAACATTGAGCTTCAATAACACAACATTAAGAATATTTTTAATTTGGGGCGCCTGGGTGGCTCAGTCATAAGGCGTCTGCCTTCGGCTCAGGTCATGATCCCAGGGTCCTGGGATCGAGCCCCGCGTCGGGCTCCCTGCTCCACTGGAGGCCTCCTTCTCCCTCTCCCACTCCCTCTCACTGTGTCTCTCTCTGTCAAATAAATAAATAAAATCTTTAAAAAAAAAAATATTTTTAATTTTACTCAACAGCAGTGGGAACTATGTAAATACGTTAGAAGTGCTCTATGAAAACAAAGTACCAAATAGAGATTTTTTTCACTGTGAAGTTTTGTGTCAATTTAAATGCCATTCAGATTTGTTGTATATCATACTTTTATTTAAGACTTATGAACAGTCCTATTTTGTCTAATCATTGCTTTATCTTTTTATATGTAAAAACCCATCTCATTACTTATAGCTAATGAAATAACCCCATTTCTGTTAGAGTCTTCACTAAATTCATTAAAATTTTACCTAAATTATTACCAGTTAGTGGTCTAAGTCAATGTGGCAATTATTTCAGCCACTTAGAGTGATCTGTTGGTCAGACTTCCTACACATTGCCAGGGAACAGCTGATAAAATTCTAAATTCTACACTTTACCAGTAATGTACAGATTAACTTTTTTCCACAGATCTGTGTGTCTTGTAATTGAAAGTGGATATTGAGTCTTGTACATGTTTCTATTTAACGTGAATTAGTTATACATATTTAAAATAGTATGTTTGGTTTAATATCTTACAGTAAATTACATAATTTATGAAACTTTTATTTATAAATTCCTATTAACTGATTTTGATATGGAATTATACAGAAACACTTCAACCAAAAGCAAATTGTCTTCACTTTTTTGTCTTGGATGTTAGAGTGCATCCCTGCAGAGTTAAAAAAAATTTTTTTGTTGTTTTTTTGAGTATAGTTGACACACAATGTTACATTAGTTTCAGGTGTACAGCATAGTGATTCAACAGCTCTGTAGGTATGCTGTGCTCATCACAAGTGTAGCTACCATCTGTCACCCTGAAGTGCTGTTACAATACCATAGACTGTATTCTCGGTAACTATATCTTTTATTCCCATGACTTATTCCATAACTGGGAGCTGGTAACTCCCACTTCCCTTCCCATTTACCCTTTCCACACACATTCCTCCCCGCTGGGAACCATCATTTTGTACTTACATGCCTGATTCTACTTTTTGTTTGTTCATTCATCTGTTTTTTAGATTTCACATATAAGTGAAATCATATGGTGTTTTTCTCTGATTTATTTCACTTAGCATAATACTTTGTAGGTCCATCTGTATTGTCACAAATGGCAGGATCTCATCCTTTTTATGGCTAATATTCCATTGTATATATACCACATTTTTAATCTATTAATCTATCAATGGACACTCGGTCTCCTTCTATATCTTGGCTATTATAAATAATGCTGCAGTGAACAAAAAGGTGCATGTTATCTTTCAAATTAGTGTTTTTGTTTTCTCTAGGTAAATACCCAGTGAAATTATTGGATCATACGGTATTTCTATTTTCAGTTTTTTGAGGAACCTCCCCATAACAATTTACATTCTTATCCACAGTGCACAAAGTGTTCCTTTTTCTTCACATCCTTGCCAACACTTGTTATTTCTTCTTGATTCTAGCTGTTCTGACAGATGTAAAGTGGTATCTCATAGTGGTTACGATTTGCTTTTCTCTGCTGATGAGTGATGTTAAGCATCTTTTCATATGTCTAATGGCCATCTGTATATCTTCTTTGGAAGAATATTCAGATCCCCTGCACATTTTTAATCAGATTATGTGGGGGTTTTTTGGTGTTGGGTTGTATAAACTTTTTATGTATTTTGGATATTAACCCCTTATCAGATATCATTTGTAAATATCTCCTCCGATTTAGGAGGTTGCTTTCTTTGTTGATGGTTTTCTTTGCTGTGCAAAAGCTTTTTATTCTGATGTAGTCCCAATAGTTTATTTTTGCTTTTGTTTCCCTTGCCTAAGGAGACGGATCTGAAACAGTATTGCCACAGCCGGGGTCAAAGAAATTACTGCCTATGTTCTCTTCTTAGAGTGTACATCAAGTCATTTTATAGATTATAATGCATAATAGGTTATTGGCTGGATATCATGTATTCAGATCATTATATTAGCAAATATGTATTTGTGTTTTAAACTGTTAAAAACCTTGATCTAATGTTTTTCTAATAATAGAGTTTTCCAAGGTAAATGACTTATTTAAGGGCAAAGATTAAATATAATCTCCACAGCCCTTACTATGTTGTGTAGTTCTCTTATTTCATTCTTTCAGAATTTGAAGTAGCTGTCAGAACTGATTGAACCAGGTATTTTACCTGTGCCTCAGATAGTAGATGAACTTAAATTTCCATCTCTCTCAGTGTTTCTTTTCTTCATCTCTCTTATCCACACAAACTCCTGTATGAGGTTTGGCTGCTGATTCCTTGTGCCACTTCTCACAGCTTCATGGTGACGAGTGTGTTGCAGCTCAGGGTTGCTCTTTATTCAAGTATGTGCCCAAAGAAATTTTTTTTAAGATATTGTTAGTTTGACAGTTGGTACACAGTTGACCCTTGAATAATGCAGGGTTAGGGGCACTGACTCCCCCCACGCAGTTGAAAATCCAAATATAACTTCTGACTCTCCCAAATATAACTACTAATAGCCTTCTGTTGACTAGAAGCCTTGCGGTAATGTAACAGTTGATTAACACATATTTTGTATATATGTTATATACTGTTATTCTTACAGTAAAGTAAACTGGAGAAAAATTACTAAAATCATAAGGAAGAGAAAATACATTACTGTATCAAAACAAAAAACAAAAAACAAAAAAACCAAGCCCAAGTTGTTCAAGGGTCACCTGTAGTATGTTCTCTTTTTATAGAAAAACCTGTACAGAAAATGACAAAGGTAGCATGAAAGACATAAGACAACAGAATTTTAACTAAAATATGCACAAACCTTTAGTAAATAATTCTAAGTTGTTTCGGTTTTATCTGCTTTAGATGCTGCTGTTAATTCTGGAGAACTGTGGTTTGTGAACTTTTACTCCCCAGGATGTTCACACTGCCATGATTTAGCTCCCACAGTATGTATTTTTTACATTCTGATTGTTAAAGTTTTATTCTAATCTGTTGAGTATTTTTTTTAATGTATTAGGATTTTTTCCTATTAATAGTAATGATAACTATCAATTATCAAATACTTTCATATATGTATGGTTTTATTTGATAAAAATATTCTCCTTTAAGAATGTATAGCTTGAAGAGTGTTCAAGGGAAGAAAAATTATCTTATAAGGGAAATACCTGTGCTTTTTTCCTCATAGTGGAGAGACTTTGCTAAAGAAGTGGATGGATTACTTCGAATTGGTGCTGTTAACTGCGGTGATGATAGAATGCTTTGCCGAATGAAAGGAGTCAACAGTTATCCCAGCCTCTTCATTTTTAGGTCTGGAATGGTAAGGGGTAAAGCTGGCATTTTTTTAATTTGGAACTTTATGGCAAGGAAGATACTAGAGAAAACACAATACGTGATTTTGTAGATTGTTTTGATTTTTAAATCTGATTTTAGGTGCCATCTGACTAGAGCCTAGTCAGATACTTTAAATGCCATTACTTTGACCTTTCTTTATTTCAAAATTAAATGTTTATCATTGGTTTCTGTCTTAACCATTATGCATATTTTATTTTATAGTTCACAAAATATTTTACCTGCATTGTCTCATTGAATATAAAGTTCTGATAGCCCCTTTTTTTTTCTAGTGATAAAACTGAAACTAGAAAACTATTATAGTGTTATTAAAATGTCTTTTGTGGAATCTGTAAAATTGAGATCTTCGTATCATTTGGAAATACACTATACTATTGAGAGATAAATCTTATTGTATTCAAAATAATGTAAAATTAAAAGCATTTGGTATTATTTTTACTGACTTTTTAGAAGAAGAATAAAAGATGTTTCTCTTTTTATAAAAAAAAAATAATAGGGTGCAGTGAAATATCATGGTGACAGATCAAAGGAAAGTTTAGTGAGTTTCGCCATGCAGCATGTTAGAAGCACTGTGACAGAATTATGGACAGGTAATTTTATTTTCTTCATTTGTTTGATTTTCAAGGATGCTTTGAATTTGGTATTTTAATTTTTTTTCAGTAATAGTGTTAAAATGTTGGTTATAATATTGAAATTTTTAAAGTATCTTTTTAGAAGGGAATTTAGTGATTTTTCCTGAGCTCTGCTAAATAGTTGGTATTTATAACAAATGAATCATATTTGTATAGAAACTAAAACAGTTAAGATGTGGGAAATGAATACAATGTGATGCTAGGTGTAATGGCAGCTTTCAAAGTGCAATTGAATGTTTAGTTAACCAAGTGTTTTATTGCTTTCATAACTGTACTGTATGGCAGTCAATTCCTGCCTATCTAGCGTAATTTAAGTTTAAAAACTCTTTCCTCTAATCTTAGACTTCTGATTGATCAAATGACTTTAGGTGGGTTATACTCTGATACCCATGAAATGATAGTATTCACATCTAGTAAGATGTTCACATCATTCACTGAATATAAGTTATGTCTGTGAAGGAAGGCATTAGTAAACCATTAATGCAGTGTAGTAACTATTATGATAGAGGCAATCTTAGGGAAATGTGAAGAATATAAAAGAACTCAGATGGGGAAAAGTGGAAGGATTAGAAAATACTTTTTGAATGAAGTCAGACCCAATCTGTCATGAAAATGAAGAGGAAGCCTTCAGAGATCACTGTGAACTTGGTAAACTAGCAGTACTTCGCCATGAATCTAACAAAAAGATGGGCAGTGGGGTACGGTGGTAGACAAAGCTCAGATCACAGGGGCCTTAGTTACCAATTAGTCACCAATTTCTTTCTTTCTTTTTTTTTTCTTTAAAGATTTTATTTATTCATTTGAGACACAATGATAGAGAGAGAGAGAGAGAGAGCATGAGCAGGGAGAGAGGCAGAAGGAGAGGGAGAAGCAGGCTCCCTGCTGAGCAGGGAGCCCGATGCGGGGCTCGATCCCAGAATGCTGGGATCATGACCTGAGCCAAGGGCAGACGCTTAACTATCTGAGCCACCCAGGCGCCCCGTCACCAATTTCTTTCTTAATGAAATAATGAATTTAGATTTTAGATGATGAAAACAATGGAAAATCAATGTAGGAATTTGATATACTTCAGGAGGATTTTTATGAATTCCTGAATTCCAATAATAATCAGAAATTTGCTTTATTTTCTTTTAAGGAAATTTTGTTAACTCCATACAAACTGCTTTTGCTGCTGGTGTTGGCTGGCTGATCACTTTTTGTTCCAAAGGAGGAGGTAATTTTGTTATTTTGTTATGATGAACAAACCAAGATATTTAATTTTTAGGTGCCAGTCTTTTTTTTTTTATTGAGATTTTTTTTTATTGAAATAACATTATGTAACTTCAGGGTATACAACCTGTTGATACACTTACATATTGCAAAATGATTACCACCATAGCATCAGCTAACACCTCCATCCTGTCATAAATACCTTTTCTTTTTCATGGTAAGAACATTTAAAATCTACTCTCTTAGCAGTTTTCAAGTGTATGATCTAGTATTATTGGTTATTATCACCATGCTATACATCACATTCCCAGAACTTGTTAATCTTATAACAGGAAGTTTGTACCCTTTGACTAGCTGTCAGTCTTAAGTATGCCACTATAATTGATTATTCAGTACTTCATGCTACAATTTATATTCAATTACAATTTTTTATTTAATGAATACTTACATTTTTTATTAATTTACACCTAAGTTATAAAATTATTAATTTGTTAAAAATTCATTTATGACTTTGGTGGACAAGTTTTTCAGCATAATAATTCTCATTATAATTAGTACCTTCAGGTAACCACAGGTGTATTTGGCAGTTTGCAAAAATAGTTGCTGACAGATGTAACCCTCCCAAAATAATTTTTTTGGTATTATGGACTTTGTCTCATACTTAACATATCAAAAATGTATACATGTTGCCTTTTAAGATATTTGAAGATGACAATTTTCCATTTCTAGGAACCTTTCCACGAGTAAATTAATTTGAGAATTCAATACTCTATGGGACCAAACCACAAACTATTAAACTCTGTTCAAACAATGAGATTGGTTAAAAATCAGCCCCCTTATTACAGAATACCCCCAATTCATTAACACATTTTCATATGTTTAATCCCAACATGGGTCTTTAACCCGGACTTTACCTATCAACTTCATGCTGCTGAACTGAGAACGAATTGCCTTACAGCTAAAATCAACCACTCACCCTATCCCATAAGGCCCATCTTAGGAAGGTATTGCCTTCAAGCAAAAATAACCCTTAAATTAGTCTATCATTGAGGGAGTTTGTTTCATTTTGGCCTAATGCACAGATTTCTGTTCACCCACACATTAAGAAAAACTTTTTAACTTTCTGACATTCTTTTACTTTTCACCCCAGGTAGATTGATTTTACCTCTCTTTATAGGCTCTGTGGTACTACAGTTCCCTTGCTTGTAAATCTGTCTCATTGTATCCTAGCATTCCTATTTAAGGATTTTCATGAAAATGGTGAAGAAGTTATTTTAAGATTGTATTGTATTTTAGGAAGGAAAGCTTCCATATTCATTCTATGAGGACAGCATTATCCTGATACCAAAACCAGAAGACGCCACACAAAAAAAGAGAACTATAGGCCAATATCTCTGATGAACATAGATGCATAGATGCAAAAATCTTCAACAATACATTAAAAAAATCATTTCACCATGATCCAGTGGGACTTAATTCTGGGATGCAACGGTGGTTCAACATTAGCAGATCAATCAATGTGATACTTTATATCAGCAAAGAAAAGATAAAAACCATATGATTTCAGTAGATGCAGAAAAAGCATTTGACAAAGTACAACATCCATTCATGAACAAAGTAGGTTTAGAAGGAACATACCTCAACATGATAAAGGCCATATACTAACCTACAGCTAACATAATACTCAATGGTGACAAACTAAGGGCTTTTCTCCTAAGATCAGGGCCAAGACAAGACTGTCCACTCTCACCACTTTTATTCAACATGGTACTAGAAGTCCTAGCCACAGCAGTCAGACAAGAAAAAGAAACAAAAGGCATCCAGATCAGTAAGAAAGAAGTAAAACTTTGACTATTTGCAAATGACATGATACTTAGTAAAGAAAACCCTGAAGACTCTACCAAAAACTACTAGCACCAATAAATGAATTCAGTAAAGTTGCAGGATACAAAATCAATATACAGAAACCTGTTGCATGTCTATACCCTAATAATGAAGCAGCAGAAAGAGAAATTAAGAAAATAATCCCATTTAGAATTACACCAAGAGTAGTGAAATACTTAAGAATAAACTTAACCAAAGAGGTGAAAGATCTATACTCTGAAAACCATAAAACATGAAAGAAACAAGACGATACAAACAAATGGAAAGATGTTCCATGCTCATGGATTGGAAGAAAAAATACTGTTAAAATCTCCATGCTATCCAAATCAATCTCTAGATTTACTACAATCCCTATCAAAATACCAATAGCATTTTTCACAGAAATAGAATAATCCTAAAATTTGTACAGAACCACAAAAACCCCAAATAGCCAAAGCAACCTTGAAAAAGAACAAAACTGGAGGTATTACAATCCCAGATTTCAAGATATACTACAAAGCTTTAGTAATCAAAAAAGTATGGTACTGGCACAAAAATAGACACACAGATCAATAGAACAGGATAGCCCCCCAAAAAAGCCACGCCTATATGGTCAATTAATCTACAACAAAGAAGGAAGAATATGCAGTGGGAAAAAGTCCCTTCAACAAATAGTGTTGGGGAAACTGGACCACTTTCTCACACCATACACAAAAATAAAATGAAGTTAAGGACCTAAAAGTGAGACCTGAAACCATAAAAATCCTAGAAGAGAGCACAGGCAGTAATTTCTCTGACAACAGCCATAGCAGCATTTTTCTAGATATGTCTCCTGAGGCAAGGAAAACAAAAGCAAAAGTAAACTATTGGGACTACATCAAAATAGAAATCTTCTGCACAGCAAAGGAAACAACAAAACTAAAAGGCAATGTATGGAATGGGGAAATATATAAAGAACTTACACAACTCAACACATACAAAAAACAATCCAATTTGCAAATGGGGAGGAGACATGAATAGACATTTCACCAAAGAAGACACACAGATGGCCAACACACATGAAAGATGATGAGTTATGTTGAGCATCTCACACCTCACACCTATCAGAATGACTAAAATCAAAAACACAAGAAACAAGTGTGGGTGCGAATGTGGAGAAAAAGGAACCCTCATGCACTGTTGGTGGGAATGCAAACTGGTGTAGCCACTGTGGCAATATGGAGGTTCCTCAAAAAGTTGAAAATAGAATTACCATATAATCCAGTAATTCCTCTACTGGGTAATTACCCAAAGAATATGAAAACACTAGTTCAAAAAGATCTATATCCCTCTGTGTTTATTGCAGCATTATTTATAATATCCAAATTATGGAAGCAGCCCAAAAGTCCATCAATAGATGAATGGATAAAGAAGTGGCATATATGTATATAATGAAATATTCAGCCATAAAAAATGAAATCTTGCCATTGGCAACAATATGGATGGATCTAAAAACTTTTATTCTGAGTGAAATAAGTCAGTCAGAAAAAGAGACAAACCAAGAAATAGACTCTTAGTATAGAGAACACACTAACGGTTACCAGAGTGGTGGGTGGGGGGATGGGTGAAAAAAGTAATGGAGATTAAAGAGTACACTTGCTATGATGAGTACTATATAGAATTATTGAATCCCTGTACTGTATACCTGAAACTAACACTGTATGTTAACTACTGGAATTAAAATTAAGTAAAAGACTGTGTTGTATTTTAAATTTAAAGATTCTTTATATACTTTTATCAGATAGAGCCATTACATTTTATTTCTGCAAAATTATGAGATCTTGGATCTCATTGGATCAAGGGGATTGTTGATAGGAGCAGAGATTTGAGAGGAAGATCCTAAAGAGATTCCCTTTAGCTAGAAATCCTGGGAAACTAGCGAGAAAATGGGAAAATATGTGCATGCATGCGTGCGTACATGTGTGTTTGTGTGTGTGGAATGAGATTTTGGCCTCAGTATCTACCTAGTGTATGTGTCACTATTTACCAGTGGAGTCCAGTCAGTTGCCTTAGAGTCAACATGGTAGTTTGGGGGGGAAGGCAAATGAAAGTACAGACTTAATAAAGCTAAAGTTATGTCATAATTTTTTTTCCTCTCTAGATTGTTTGACTTCACAGACACGACTCAGGCTCAGTGGCATGTTGGTAAGCATCAATTATTTTGTAAAGCCATATGGCCATGTTAAGAAAGACATTTAAGAATTGATTCTAAGTATTTCTTTGTAGTTCCTTAACTCACTTATTTGTAAGGTTTTTTTTTTTTTTGATAAATATATTCATAGCTATAAAACTTTTCTTCCTAACTAATTAGAATTTTGACATATGGTGCTTTCATTGTTGTTCACTTCTAAATATCCTGTAATATAATTATGAATTCTTCTTTAATCAAAGAGGTACATATTAGTGTTGGTGTCACCTCCAAACTTTATTTCTTACTGTTTTTGTTTTGTTGTTATTTTGTTGTATATTTAGCTCTCATCATACTAAGGTTGGGGAATATAATCTGTATGTTGTTGATACTTTAACACTCATTGGAGCTCCCTTTGCTGCCTGGGAGTTTATCAGTTATGAAAATCGTGAAAGATCTATGTGTGCTCAAAAATATGTTTTCTGCATATATTAGGTAAAATTTTTATATCTATTAGACCAATTTTATCTGCATCATTTATTTTTTGTGTAAACTTTTAAAAAACATTTTAAATTTACAGTAGAAAAGTTGGGGGTTTCTAAATAAAGCTAAATTCCTTTAACTTTCTCTTTTACTCAACACATGACCTGTTTTTTGTTTCTTTCCACTGTAGGATGGTCTTGTTAATGTAGGATGGATGGACTGTGCCACCCAGGACAACCTTTGTAAAAGTTTGGATATTACAACAAGTACTACTGCCTATTTTCCTCCTGGAGCCACCTTAAGTAACAAAGAGAAAAGCAGTGTTTTGGTATGAGTTACTAATTTCTTTATATATATGTGAATACATACATTCAAACATAATACATCATTTTATAAACAGTGAACAAGGAAATGAATCCATTTACAATAAACATGTTATTATTTAGAACAAGTATTTAATTTTGGGGATTCTGTTTAATGGTAAGATCTGCTTGTAAGGATTATTTTATAATGGTAGAAACTATTACCCTTTACAACCCAGAAGTATGGGAAACATTCTTAGGTTATATGAATTTTCATTGGTTTCCATTTATGTGTATATTTTCTAATGTTAAAATGTAGATCATTAGTACATTTGGCTGGGACTCAGTATTTGTTTTTTTAAACCACCCTGTTAGATTCTGGTTGTAAACTCAGTTTGGAAATCTGTATGGTTCATCTCCCTAATTTTGTGAATGAGGAGACTGAGGTTCAAGCTAGTTATCAAGGAGCTAAGATAAATAATGGGATATTGAATAGGTTCCTAGGAAACCTCAAAAGAAAATAATAAAAGACAAACTTTCATTAGTTTTTATTTCTGTATTTTAATTCTGCTTTCTTGATGTTGACAAAGATAACACATACTCATTATAGAAATTCATACATGGGTATAGAAATGTATAAAGACAGATGCAAAATTCTTCTAAATCCAAATCACCCACAGATGAGCACCATCAAATCTTGGTAAATACTCTTCCAGATCTCTACTTACATATACGTGCAATTATGACTTCATGCTGACAACTCTCCACTTCTGTCTTTGGCCCGGACCTCTGACGTCCACTCCAGACATACATATTCTGCTGCCTATTCAACATCTCCCCTGGGATATTAACTGATTTTTCAAACTTAGATCTCCGTAACTATACCGCTGATATTCTCCCATAGATCTGCTCTGCCCACAGTTTTCTCTATCTCAGCTGATAAAAAAATCCATCCTTTATCATTCAGGTCAAATACCTTAGAGTCATTGTTGACTCTTCTTTTTCTTATATTCTATAACTTACATTGGGAGAATCTGTGGCTCTGTCATTAAATTCTTTCTAAAATCCACTTCTACCGCTACTAGAGCATTTATCACCTTATAATATACACTAATATATTATCTTTGTATTTTTATTTTTCTCCCACAATGCATTTTTAAGTTTGAATATTTTTTACTGTTATATCTCAAATCCCTAGAAGATTATCTGGCACAGAAGTGGACACTATATATAGTGCCTATGTATATTATATGCTATCTGCTAGAGCTAAACATACACATAAATAGATAAATCAACAATCCCTAAGTAACAATCCATTCACTAAATGTGACATACTTAGTTACTTAATCAGTCCTCCTTGGTATTTAACTCACCTACTTTTTCATGATTATAAGTAATGTTGTAATGAAAATGTTGTTTGTTCATTTTTGTGCACTTCTTTAGTTACCTGTTTAGATGAAATAGCCATGGCAGTTTTAATTTCAGTTTGTTTTGCCAGATTGCCCCTATAGAAAATTTCTGTTTATATTGTCCCACAGTTCATGAGCATGCCTGTTCCCTTAATAGAAGTTCTTGTCTTCAGTACTACAGTCTCATATTTTAGTGAGATCTTTCTGCTTTTTGATATAAAACTGCAAACTCAGATGCAATCTTAGGAGACATAAATGAGTAATACTGGAAGTGTAATTACAGGGAGTGATGAATTGAATGGTCCTTGTCGCTTCTAAAAGCATTCAAGTTTTTAGAAAAGTAAGACATCTGTTGGTCTCCTCAAACTGAATTGGGTGAGAAAAGGTACGGTCTAATATAAACATCTTGGTTATCTCTGAAAGTCCGTTCCATTTTCGCTGTTGGCAAATCGTGCCTTGTTTATTCCAGTGGCAGTTTTTTCTGCTTAATGGTTTGTTTTGTTGGAATGTGAGTTCATTTATTTGTATGTCTTAATGTAGTTTATGTCTTCCTTAAACGCTCTCTTTCCCAGGTAAATTCCAGTTGTAATACTTGACATCCATTTGAGGAGATCCATCTCTTCGCTCTTTCCTAGTCAGTATATTCAGCAAACATTTATTTACCAAGCCCTTACTGTGGACAGAATTGTACTGGGTAATTGGGAAGAAAAGTAGATAAAAGTCCACATAGTATAGTGAATCATTATAGTATAGTGAATCATTATAGTGTGGCCCCATTGTTTTGGGATGTATTATTTACAACAGCATTTTACACCATTCATATCCTAATGTTATTCTAAAACCCAGTATACTATCAAGGGTAATTTTGTGGTTATCCGCCCAAAAAAAAAAAAAAAGTACCCAGTATTTTTTTTTTGTATTCCATCGATAATGAAAAAGATTTCAATCTGTAATAAACTGATTCATTGTGAAGTGACTGTAATATAGTGGAGTTATATTAAATTGTTAAAACGCTGTCTCCCCAAACACATATTGGGAGGTAATCCCCCAAAAAGGTATGTAACTTTGCAATAGGTATAAAGAAAACTCTGGGTGCTATAATTAGGTTATTTTGAGGCAGAGAGTTATTGTCCCAGCTGATTTAGTATGTTCTATAATTGAGAAATGTTCACCACATTACACCTTTTAAAAGTGATTTACATGTACATTTTATAGGGGACATGTTCTGTGTATAAAGAATAAGAGGAAGGGAGGGAGGAAGGAAGAAATTCAGAGGTTAGACAGTATCCTTTGTAAGTGTAACTACTCTTACTTTTACTCTATGACAAACAGGTTTATAATGAGGTTCTACCACTAGAACCGGAGTAAATAATCAGGAGTATGTAATAAAATCTTTCTAATAAATGTGGCTGATGTCAATGACCTGTAGTACTATGGCATGTAGTACTTTGGGCCTTTTAAGCCCTTTGGTAACAGAAAATATTTCATATAGATCTTTAACAATATGCTAAAGATTTAAGAAAAAAGAACAAAAACAAGTTTTAAGAATAGAAACTTAAGAAAAACCATTTTCTATTCTTACGTTATACCCATTGTTTCTCTCCATTTGGTTATTCTCATGTTGGGCACAATTAAGCTCTGAATACCATGGAAGTTGCTATAAGTTTTTAATGGAGTTTCAGGCCTTTCAAGTAATACTGAATGATCAGGCATAGGTGGTTCATAATTAAACTCTGTTTTGTCAACCCCCAAATACATTTTCCTGATGTGACCATTACTTTATTCTTTGTTGTTAACACCTGCTTCTTTGAGAATTACATGAGCAGGGAGAGTGAGAAAAATATGCTAAAGATAAAATATGGACAGAAATAAAGGAAATTTGTTAGAAAGGAGATGTGCCTTTTTCACTTTTGTGTTTTAAACCTTTAAGATAAGGTCTTTATCAGGATGTTTAACTCTGCCAAACCCCTAGGTGCTTAGGTTTTTGGACTCTATTTCTGAAAACCTCTATAATAAAGAGTATTCCAATTTTCCAGTTATAAGTTCTGAATTCCTACTAGTTATTGGTTAGGGTATGCAGTGTCTTGGGTCATCAAATAGTCTAGTGTTTTAATTAATAATTCTTTTAAAAGTTTGTAAAGCATTGGCATTCTGCAAAACATGATGAGCATTAAAGTTGCTCTGAACATAATACAGTTTTTTCCCCAATAATTCAGAGGTTACTCCAGGTTATTGTGAGGATTATTATAGAATGCACACCACAATTAAAAGAAAATTCCAGATAATGAAGTTTTAATTTTACATCAATATTTTTAAGAAACAGCCCTGTTACACAATTTTTTATTAATTGCCAAAATATACTTTTTAAAAAACATTTAGAATAAATAGCTCAAAAACTGTTTTTAACTTTTGTGATTTTTTTTTCTTAAGAGAGTTCTATGGAAAAAAGACACAAATGGATGTTGATTAAAAGATTACAATATGATTCTCTTATTTTAGTTCCTTAATTCATTGGATGCTAAAGAAATATATTTGGAAATAATGCATAATCTTCCAGATTTTGAACTACTTTCGGCAAACACACTAGAGGTAATATTTCTGTTAATAATAATAAATGGTAGTAAATGTTGGTAACATTTCAAGTCTTAACATTTTAAAATCAGCATTTGTTTTATTCATCACTAGAAAGCAGTTTCAGAGGATTTTATATATTAATGTATATATGTTAGCTATTCTAGGTTAAAGTCTAATTGCTGGAGTTGCAACTTTAGGGTGGGTCTGGAGTTCAAGACAACATAACCAGTCCTGAATGGGGGCCTCAGTGGGAGTGTCAAAAAAAAGATTTTGATCACAAAGCAGCTTTCGATCTTATGTGGACTTTTATGTTCTTGCTTACAGAACTATTTATATTGTTCACTGAGAACTAAGAAGCAGCTTTAGAAATACTCAGTTTGTAGTAAAATCATTTTCTTTTCTACTCAGTGATCCCAGAGCTAAGTCTATATCCCTATCCAACTCTGCTAAACCTGAAAAAGCTTACTTCTCTACCCCCAACTTTTTAGCTATATATCATTAAAACTATGTATTTTTTTTGGAACAGTTGTCTGCTTTTGGATTTTATAATTTAGTGATTTTTAGCCTTTAATATAGGATTGATTTACATAGCATTATTCCAAAGAAATACAAAATATAAGCATAAATGGGTCTGAATTTTAGGCAGTATTTTGAAGTAATGGGTATGGTGGCTAAAATTAACTTTAAGTCAAAGAAATAAAGAATAGAACCCTTAGAATTTCTTGATTCTGACATTATTTTTATCACTTCTAAGGATCGGTTGGCTCATCATCGGTGGCTCATATTTTTTAATTTTGGAAAACATGAAAATTCCAATGATCCTGAGTTGAAGAAACTAAAAACTCTACTTAAAAATGAACATATTCAAGTAAGAAAAATGCATTCTGCCTAGCCTTCTGCTAGTGTGCTTTCTTATTAATTTAATATATAAAATTATATTTTAGGTAACATAAAAATGTTTATTTGAAATTCTAGGTTAAGAAACCCCTAAGTGCTTTTGTTCTTCTGTTGTGATTTTGTTTTTCTATTAAAAATCTACAGTGATATCTGAAAACAGTTAACTTTCATTTCTCTTTAGTAGATGCCATCTGATATATCTGTATCAGACAGTTTTCTGGAATGACATACCATAGAAAAATACCTTTTTAAAATTCTTATTTATGTAAATAATTTGTACTCATAGTTTAAAAATTAGGATATATAAATAAGCACAAAAACAAATTAAAATACTTAGTATTTTCACAACTGTTAATAGCCCTACTATAAATTTACTGTGTAATTTTTTAAACTTTTTTTGCATATGTTTTAGTATGTGGGCATAGGGATATGTGTGTACATAAATGCATATTGTAATGGCCATTATAACAGACATACCTGTAACTTTATTTATGAACTTTTTTAATAAAAATGGATTCACTATAGGGGCGCCTGGGTAGCACAATCGGTTAAGTGTCCAACTCTTGGTTTCGGCTCAGGTCTTGGATCATGAGATTGAGCCCCATGTCCGGCTCTGCCCTTAGTAGTGTAAAGTCTGAGTTGCTCTTGCCCTCTCCTTCTGCCCCTCTCCCCGCTCTTGCTCTCGCCCTCTCTCTCTCTTTCTATCTCTCTCTCTCCCCCTAAAATAAATCAGTCTTTAAAAACAAAAAGAAAAACCCCAAAAAATGGATTCACTATACAGTAGTCCCTCTTTTCTGCAGGGGAAATGTTCCAAGGCCCCCAGTGGATGCCTGAAACCACAGATAGTACCAAACCCTATATATACTTGTTTTTTTCCTATACATACATATCCATAATAGAGTTTAATTCATAAATTAGGTCCAGTAAAAGATTAACAATAATAACAAAATGGACAATTGCAATAATATACTATAATGAAAGTTATGTGAGAATGGTCTCTTACTATACTGCACCGTACTCACCCTTGTAAATTGATATGAGATGGTAAAATGCCTGCATGATGAGATGAAGTGAGGTGAATGACGTAGGCACTGTGACGTGGTGTTAGCTACTCCTGACCTGAGAGTGCCTGAGAAGGAGAATCATATGCTTCTGGACTACAGGTGGACCAGTGGGAACCAAAACTGTGGAAAGTGAAACCACTGATAAGGGGGGAACTGCTGTATTCTCTTGTGTAGAATTATCCATTTGACAATATCAGATATTTTCTTATATGCTAGTTTGTGTATGTGTATATATATATGTGTGTGTGTTGTGTATACGAATATGTATATATGTAGATGTATATATATGTATATGAAGCACTACTTGGTCTTTAGAGATGATGGTAAATATATACATATATATAAATATATTAAATACATTACTAAACACATATGATATAGATATTATCATCCTAGAGATATCATCCTCCCTAAAGTCTAGGTAGTATTTCACTATATGGTTACACCATAGTTGTTTAACAAATCCTCTTTTATTAACATCATTTGCATTATTTTTTATATCAAGAATACATACTCTAAAAATGCAATATGAAGAATTTTTTTAACCAAGGTTGTTTTTTCTTAAATTGTCCTCATTACCAGTGTCCTCCAGAATGTTTATATCATTTTATATTCTTACAACATGTCAGTAACCATTTCTCCACACCTGTGCCAGCCATGGTATTACCAATTTTTTAATAACCATTCTAATAAGCCAAAAGTGATATATTAATAATATTCATTTTCACTTATTTGCTTCCTGGTGGGGTTGAAAAAGTTTTTTTGTGATTATTAACAAATCATGATTTTTCTCTATTTTCTGTCTCTGGCCCATTTTCTCTCTTCTGATAGGATATTTATCTTTTATTTCTTAGTGGATCCTCTGAAATCCTCAGATATTTGTTCTTGGTTTATTATTTCCCTCTTAATATTCTTTATGCTGTTTCCCTTACAGTGTATGAAATTGTCAGGCTTTGCTTTATTATTTCTTTTTTTTTTTTTTAAGATTTTATTTATTTATTTTTTAGAAAGCAAGCGAGAGAGAAACAGCATGAGAGGGGAGAGGGTCAGAGGGAGAAGCAGGCTCCCCGCCAAGCCGGGAGCCCGATGTGGGACTGGATCCCAGGACCTTGGGATCATGACCTGAGCCGAAGGCAGACGCTTAACCATCTGAGCCACCCAGGCGCCCTGCTTTATTATTTCTGCTTTTAGGGTCTGAAAACGTTTCTCTCTCCCGCATTCCAAGCTTATATAAATATTCCCTATATTTTTAGAAGAGTGGATTTCTTGAATTTTTTTTAAAGATTTTATTTACTTATTTGAGAGAGAGCACAGCAGGGGGAGCAACAGGCCCCCTTTGGAGCAGGGAGCCCAATGAGGGGCTCAATCCCAAGACCTTGGAATCATGACCTGAGCTGAAGGCAGACGCTTAACTGCCTGAGCCACCCAGGCGCCCGAAAGAGTGGATTTCTTAAACAACTTCCTATTTTCTGGAAAATTTTCTCAGGTTTTTGAACTTTCTAAAAGGCTTTTTTTTTTTTTTCCTTAACTAAAATTGAGTTTCAGTGTTAAATGTAAATTAATTATTTCTATCTTTTATTTTCATGGCCAGTTAATTTCTGTTTAGAAACTGTTAGAGCAATGTCATTCCTTTATGAATATTTAAAAAAATGAATGCGTATGATTTTGTTTTCATCAATTTGAATTCTCTAGGTTGGTAAGTTTGACTGTTCCTCTGCACCAGACATCTGTAGTAATCTGTATGTGTTTCAGCCATGTCTAGCAGTATTTAAAGGACAAGGAACCAAAGAATATGAAATCCATCATGGTAAGAAGGGAGAAAATGATAAAGATATATATTTATTTTCAAATAGCAGTTTTTCAAATGTACTTTTTACCTTGCTTTTTTAAATTCCTTAATTGACATGTAGTTGACACACTGTTATATTAGTTTCGGGTGTAAAGTAGTGATTCCGCAACTCTGTATGTTATGCTGTGCTCATACAGGTGTAGTTAGCATCGATCACAGTACCATTGACTATATTCCTGTGCTGTACCTTTCATCTCCATGACTTATTCATTCCATAGCTGGAAGCCTGTAACTCCCATGCCATTTCACCCATTTTGCCCATCCTGCCATCTCTCTCCCCTAAGTAACCACCAGTTCTCTGTATTTATGAGTCTGTTTCTAATTTGTTTTGTTTTTTAGATTCCACATATAAGTGAAATCATATGATATTTGTCTTCTCAGACTTACTTCACTTAGCATCATATGTTCTAGGTCCATCCATATTGTCACAAATGGCAAGATCTTAGTCTGTTTCATGGCTGAGTAACAATACTCCATTTGTGTGTATGTGTATGTCTGTGTACATACGCACATCTTCTTTCTCCCTCTATCAGTGGACACTTGTGTTGCTTCCATATCTTGGCTGTTGTAAATTAGTGCTGCAATAAACACGGGGTGCATATATCTTTTTAAATTAGTGTTTTTGTTTTCTTTGGGTAAATACTCAATAGTGGAATTACTGGATTGTATGGCATTTTTAATTTTTTGAAGAACCTCTCTACTGTTTTCCACTGTGGCTACACCAGTTTATATTCCCATCAACAGTACATGAGGGTTCTTTTTTTCTATATCGTTGCCAACTCTGGCTATTTGTCTTTTTGTTACTAGGTGTTCTGATAGGTATAAGGTGATATCTCATTGTGGTTTCGATTTGCTTTTCCCTGATGATATTAGATATATCATTTTAGGGGCACCTGGGTGTCTCAGTAACTTAAGTGTCCAACTCTTAATTTCAACTCAGGTCATGATCTCAGGGTCGTGAGATCAAGCCCTGGGTTGGGCTCTGCGCTGAGCATGGAGCCTGCTTAAAATTCTCTCTCCCTCTCGGGGCACCTAGGTGGCTCAGTTGGTTGGGCATCTGACTCCTGGTTTTGGCTTAGGTCATGATCTCATAGGTTGTGAGATTGAGTCCCTCGTTGGGCTCCATGCTCAGCGGGGAGTCTGCTTGAAGATTTTCTCCCTTTGCCCCTCCCCCCACTTGCTCAGCGCTCACGCACTCTCTCTCTAAAATAAATCTGGGGTGCCTGGGTGGGTCAGTTGGTTAAGCCTCTGCCTTTGGCTCAGGTCATGATCCCAGGGTCCTGGGATCGAGTTCTGCATCAGGCTCCTTGCTCGGCAGGGAGCCTGTTTCTCCCTCTGCCTGCCCCTTTCCCCTGCTTGTGTGCTCACTCTCTCTCTCTCTCTCTGACAAATAAAAAATTTAAAAATAAATAAGTAAAATAAATCTTAAAAAAAAAGGATACTCTTTCCCTCTCCCTCAGCCCCTAACCCCCCATCTCGCATGCACTCTCTCTATCCCTGTATATAAAGTTTAAAAAAAAAAAAAATGTATCATTTGAAAATCACTTCTCCCATTCAGTAGGTTGCCTTTTCTTTTTGTTGATTGTTTCCTTCACTGTGCAAAATTTTTTTATTTTGATGTAGTCCTGATAGTTTATTTTTGCTTTTGTTTCCCTTGCCTGAGGAGACAGGTCTAGAAAAATTGTTACTAAGGCCAATGTCAGAGATTACTGCCTATATTTTCTTATAGGACTTCTTTGGTTTCAGGTTTCACGTTTAGGTCTTTGGTATCTTTTGAGTTTATTTTTGTGTATGGTGTAAGAAAGTGGTTGAATTTCATTCTTCCGCATGTAGCTGACCAGTTTTCCTAGTGCCATTTACTGAGGAGACTCTCTTTTCCCCATTGTATAATCTTGCCTCCTTTGTCAAAGATTAATTAGACCATGTAAGCATGGGTTTATTTCTGGGGTCTCTATTCTGTCCCACTGACTGAAGTGTCTGTTTTTATGCCATACCATGCTGTCGTGTTTACTATAGCTTTGTCCTGTATCTCGAAGTCAGGGAGCATATCTAGATTTGTTCTTCTTTTTCAAGATCACTTTGGCTATTTGGGGTCTTTTGTGGTTCTTTTTACTTTGTTTTATATAAATATACTTACTGTAAATAACTTTGCTTTTATTAGTAAATAGGTTTCTTTTGGAGAAAGATTTTTTGAGTTATATTTAGTTATTTTATTCTCTTTTCTTTTTAAAATAACTTTTTTCTGCTATTTTGATTAGTGTTTCAGCAAGAATGCTAGTGACATGTCAGGTTAGTGCAAAATTTAGGGGTCTTATTAATAAAAGTAAGCAACACCTATAGTTTCCATTTCCAGTGTACCAAAGTAGCATCTCAGCCATGGGCATTTTCCAGATTTTTCCCCCACTAGACTATTAAATTTTTTTTTTTTAAGATTTTATTTATTTGACAGAAAGAGACACAGTGAGAGAGGGAACACAAGCAGGGGGAGTGGGAGAGGGAGAAGCAGGCTTCCCGCCTAGCAGGTAGCCCGATGTGGGGCTCGATCGCAGGACCCTGGGATCATGACCTGAGCCGAAGGCAGACGCTTAACGACTAAGCCACCCAGGCGCCCCTAGACTATTAAATATTTCTATCTTATCTCTCTTGAATTTATAATTACATTTTTACATTTCAGCTTGTGATGGGACTTTAGCTCTGCATTCATGTAAGTACAGTTGCAGTTATGAGGATTTGGGATACCTCATAGTCCCTGTCCTGAAAAAAGTCAAATGTAGCAAAAGAAACACACCAACTACTAACTATAACACAGCTAAGTGAGTAACAGATATTAACTGATGTTATGTGCTTAGGAATGCAAAGTTCTCTCAAGACATTTAAAATATCAGGGCGCCTGGGTGGCTCAGTTGGTTAAGTGTCTGCCTTCAGCTCGGGTCGTGATCCCGGGATCCTGGGATCAAGTCCCTCATCGGGCTCCCTGCTCAGCGGGGAGTCTGCTTCTCCCTCTGCCTCTCTCTCTGTCTCTCATGAATAAATAAATAAAATCTTTAAAAAAAAATTTTTAAGTATCATCTGGTGGGGTTGATAGAAGGAGATCATAGACAATATGAAAAACATTGTAATTGCCAGTATGTATAAATTATAAGATCAAATAAAGAGACTTATATGTAGTTTAGATCCAGAGATGATATTTGAATTGAGATAACATTTGAATGCTCAGTTTCTCAAAGCGAATAGAGAAAAGCAAGAAGTGAGGCTAAGCTGAAGGAATTATGTGAGCAAAGTCTTGGCAAGATGAACCTAACAGTAACTCCTGTTTATTTAGTACTTTCTACAATTCAGATGTTTTTCTAAAGGCTTCACTACATTTCCCTTTCTGTTTTTATCTTCACAACAGCCCACCAAGGGAGAAAACAGTGGCTCAGGATAATTATTTGCCTATGATCAACAACTAGTAACTAGTCAAGGTAGATTTTTGTATCCAAACAGGTCTGACTCCAAAGCCTAGGATTATAGCAGCACTAAACTGTACTGTCTCCTGAAAGTGCTAAAAATGACCACGTTTTAATAATGGAGTTCTGTTCTTTTTTATCTCTGAAATAATTCAGATTCCCCTCCCTCTGTGTTTGCTGCTTTATTTCCAGTTCATCGTCTCCTTCATTTACTCTATTATCCTTTGGTAAAATTGACAGTCTCACGTCACTTTTCTGCCTTGACTTTGCTGATTTCTTTAAGTATTTTTAAATTTTTTTCATTGAAGTAGAATTGGAATACAGTATTAGTTTCAGGTATGTTATATAATAATTCCCTTTTATATATACATTGATCAGATCAGAATGATCTGATCAGTGTATATATACAGATCACCATGATCACCATGATGTTTAGTTACCATCTGTCATCATGTCAAGTTGTTACATTATTAGTAACTCTGTTCCCTGTGCTCTACTTTACACCCCTGTGACTTATTTGTAACTGGAAGTTTGTACCTCTTAATCCCCTTAACTGTTTCACCCTTCCTCCCACCTCCCTCTCCTCTGGCAATCACCAGTTTGTTCTCTGTATTTATGAGTCTGTTCTATTTTGTTTTGCTTCTTCATTCATTTTGTTTTTTAGATATTGGTAAGACAGATGTCCAAGAGTTTTCTGCCTGTGTTTTCTTTTAGGAGTCATGGTTTCAGGTCTTATATTTAGGTCTGTAATATATTTTGAATTGATTTTTGTATATGGCACAAGAAAGTGTCCGGTTTCATTCTTTTGCATGTAGCTCTAGTTTTCCCAGTACCATTTATTGAAGAGACTGTCTTTTCCCCATTGTATGTTCTTACCTCCTTTGTCACAGATTGACCATATAAGTATGGGTTTATTTCTCTCTATTCTGGCTCTCTATTCTGTTCCATTGATCTGTGTGTCTGTTTTTTTGCCAATACTATGTGTTTTGATTATTATAGCTTTATAGTGTATCTTGAAATCAGGGAGCACAATACCTCTGGCTTTGTTCTCTTTTTTCATGGTTGCTTTGATTCTTCATGGTCTTTTGTGGTTCCATACAAATTTTAAGATAATTTGTTCTAACTCTGTAAAAAAAAAAATGCCATTGATGTTTTCATAGGGATCGCATTGAATATGTAGATTTTTAGAGATCATATAGACATTTTAATAACATTAATCCTTCAATCTATGAAGACTGTATATCTTTCTATTTATTTGTGTCCTCTTCAGTTTCTTCAACAATGTCTTTTATCTCCTTGGTTACATTTATTCCTAAGTGTTTTATCCTTTTTGATGCAATTCTAAATGGGATTGTTTTCATAATTTCTCTGATAGTTTGATATTATAGAAATAGCACAGACTGAGGAAACTGGGTGGCTCAGTCGGTTAAGTGTCCAGCTCTTGGGGCGCCTGGGTGGCTCAGTTGGTTAAGCATCTGACTTTTGATTTCAGCTCAGGTCATGATCTCAGGGTTGTGAGATTGAGCCCCACATCACGCTCAACGCTGGGTGTGGAGCCTGCTTAAGATTCTCCCTCTCCCTTTCCCTCTGCCCCTCCCTGCCCTCAAAAAAAAAACACAGATTTTGGTATATTAATTTTGTATCCTGTTACTTTACTGAGTTGATTTGTTTTATTAGTTTTTGAGTAGAGTCATTTATTTCTGCTCTGATTTTTATTTTTTCCTTCTATTAACTTGGGACTTTATTTCTTCTTTTTCTAGTTCCTTTAAGATGTAAGGTTAGATTGAGATTTGTTTCCTGAGGTAGGCCTATATCTCTATAAACTTGCCTCTTATTTTTTTTTTTAAAGATTTTATTTATTTATTTGAGAGAGTGAGGGAGCGAGAGAGAGAACACGAGTGGGGGCAGAGGGAGAAGCAGACTCTCCACTGAGCAGGGAGCCAGATGCTGAGCTCAGTTGGGGTGATGAGCTGAAGGCAGACACTTAACCCACTGAGCCACCCAGGTGCCCCTACACTTGCCTCTTAAAACTGCTTTTGGTGGGTCCCATAGATTTTGGAACATTGTGTTTGATTTTTATTTGTCATAAGGTATTTTTTTTGTTTTCTTCTTTCATTTCTTCATCAACTCATTGTTAGGAACATGTTTAGCTTTGATGTGTTTGTGTTTTTTCCCAGTTTTGTTTTAGTTTCTAGTTTTATACTATTGGGTCAGAAAAAAATGCTTGGTATGATTTCAGTCTTCTTAAATTTATTGAGACTTGTTTTGTGGCCTAACATGATTATCTTGGAGAGTGTTCCATGTGCCCCAGAATACATGAAGAACATGTATTCTGTTTTTGAAAAGAATGTTCTGTATATATCTATTAAGTCAAAGTGGTCTAATATGTCCTTGAAGGTTACTGTTTTGTTGATTTTCTGTCTGGATGATCTGTCGTCCATTGATGTATGTGAGGTGTTATTGTATTACTGTCACTTTCTCCCATTATGTCAGTTAATACTTGCTCTACATATTAGGTGCTCCTATGTTGATATTTATAGATTTGTATAATTATTTCCTCTTGTTGAATTGATTCCTTTATCATTATGTAATGTCCTTCTTTGTCTCTTATTACAGTCTTTGTTGTAAAGTCTGTTTTGTCTAAGTATTGCTAGTCTATTTTTCTTTTTGTTTCCATTTGCATGGAATATCTTTTATCATCCCTTCACTTTGTCTGTGTATGTCCTTACATCTGAAGTGATATAGGTAGCCTATAGAGGGGGTTTGCTTTTGTTATCCTTTCAGCTACCCTCTGTCTTTTGTTTGGAGCATTTGGTCCATTTACACTTAAAAGTACTTACTGATGATAGGTATGTATTGCCATTTTCTTCATTATTTTCTGGTTTTGTAGTTCCTCTCTGTTCCTCTCCTGTGATTTGACGACTTTGTTTAGTGTTATATTTGGATTTCTTTCTCTTTATTTTTTGTGCATCTGTTGTAGGTTTTTGGTTACCATTAGGCTCATATATAACAACCTATGTATATAGTAGTCTTTTCAGTTGAGTGTCACTTAGGTTTGAATGCATCTTAAAAGCACTGTGTTTTACTCTCCTGCTGACTTTTTTTGGCATCCTATTTTACATGTTTTTGTGTATCCCATAACTAACTATTGTAGATACAGATTTTACTACTTTTCTCTTTAACCTTCATACTAGCCTTATAAGTGATGGATCCACTACATTTTCTACATGTTTACCAATGTTTGCCATTACCAGTGATTTTTTTTTTTTCTTTCATAACTTTCTTCTAACTATGGCCTTTTCTGCTTAAAGAAGTCTCTATAACATTTAAGGCTGGTTTAGTGGTGATGAACTCCTTTAACTTTTGTTTGCCTGGGAAACCATCTCTCCAATTCTGAATGAGAACTGTGAATATATCCTGCCACCCTCTTCTGGCCTGCTATGTTTCTGCTGAAAAACCAGCTTATAATCGTATGGGGGTGCCCTTGTGTGTAACTAGTTGGCACGGCTCTTGCTGCTTTTTCAGATTTTCTCTTTTCTCTTTAGTTCAGACATTTTAAAAATGTGTCTGGGTGCGAATTTACTTGAGTTCTTGTTTGGTCTTCTCTGTGCTTCCTAAATCTGTGGGTCTGCTTCCTTCCCCTGATAGGGAAGGTTTTCAGCTCTGATTTCCTCAAAGTTTTCTGCCTTTTATTCTCTTTCTTCTCCTTCTGAACCTTCTGTAATATCAATATTAGGACACTTGATGATGTCCTAGAGGCCCTTTAACCTAACCTATGCTCATTTTTTATTCTCTTTTCTTTTTGCTGTTCCGCCTGGGGGATTTCCTCAACTCTGGCTTCCAGATCCATCTGGTCCGTTATGCTGCTTCTAATCTGCTGTTGATTCCCTCTAGTGTGTTTTTAGTGTCAGTTATTGTGTTCTTTGGCTCTCATTTTTTAGACATTTTATTTCTTAATTCTTTAAGTTCTCACTATGTTGATCCACCTAGTGGGTGACTATGCCATTGCCAAGATAGGGAAGGTGAGAAAAGGAGCAAGTTCGGGGGGAAATAGCTCAACTTCAATTTTAATATATTTGAAGTGTTTGTATGACATCCATGTGAGTATTTTTGGGCAGTTGGTAATACAGGTTTTGAATTCATAAGGGAAGTTGAGTTTGAAGAAATAGATTTAGTAGTTGGGCCACAGTAGTAGTTCAGGTAAGCATAAAGAACACAAATACTGCAAAAAAGTGGTTACTCTGCCTCTAAGGATGAAGGAGCATTGCAAAGAAAGGTGCTCCTGGCAGAGCAAACCCATTTATCTATAGTATACAGAACACTAGACCCTCACCGAAATTAGTGTGTTCAATAAGTTTGTCTTCATTTCTTTAATATCTGAAGTATAAAAACTTTGAAATGTTTCTATGGATAGAAAGGCAGAATGTGGATTTTAATTTTTCTTTTATTCAATTTCAAAGGAAAGAAGATTCTGTATGATATACTTACCTTTGCCAAAGAAAGTGTTAATTCTCATGTTACCACACTTGGACCTCAAAATTTTCCTGCCAATGACAAGGAACCATGGCTTGTTGATTTTTTTGCCCCAGTAAGTAATTTTTATCTGTCAAATTTCAGTGTTGTCACATTTTCTCTTATCATAGCAAAAAGACATTTTCTAGATAGTCTTGAACCATGAGTACCAAAATTGTGTTACTAAGTTTTGGCCTCTATCACATATTGCTTCTAGGAGAGTGGGGATGTACTTGCCCCTCCAAGAATTAAATAGACACACACACATGCGCATAAGATTTGTCCCTAAGTATGGTTTATCTTACTTAGTATATATTGCTTGTTGCAGAACTGTGGGGGTTTTTTGTTTCATTTAGCTCAGTGCTTGTGAATATTTTTTCTTTCATAGTGGTGCCCACCGTGTCGAGCTTTATTGCCAGAGTTACGAAAAGCATCAAAACATCTTTACGGTCAGCTTAAGTTTGGTACACTAGATTGTACAGTTCACGAGGGACTCTGTAACATGGTATGTATAAAATACTTGTTCTAATTAATACTTCTGTAAAATAGTTCTTAAGTTACACTGACAAAGGTCTCTATTTCAGATGTACATCTGTGTTTAGAGTAGTAAATTATTTAATCAAATAATTTCAACAAATATTTCAAAAAATGATATAAAATTATGAATTAAAACATGAATAGACAACATAAATAGTTGAATATAAACATGGTCTTATCAAACTTGGGAAAATATTTTGTTTGCTTGATAAAATACATGATTTTTCCATTATTTAAAATCTTTGTAATTTTTGACTCAATATTACCTTTTGGCAGTCTGTAGTTTGAGTCTCAGGTTTTCCTCATAATTGTCTTCCGAGTATAGTTAGTAGATGGAAATTTTAAAAATGAACAAGTTTTTTTCAACCTTTGTTTACATAAAAATATTTTCTTAGGTTAATTCATAAAATACTCATTCTTCAGTTCCAGGAATAACTAGGAATTATATATCTTGTCATGAAAGTATATAATACCACCTATAAAATATTCTTGGAACAAGTCTCTGAAACCTAAATCGGATATCACACCTTGAGATCTGTCCGTATGTAGGGAATCAGAGGAACATGTTAAGTGACACCATGGGCATGAAATCTGCAAGTCCCAGTATATAGAGGATCTTACAGGACAAATACCTAATTTATTGGTATTGAGATACACTGAAAGGTGGGAAAAGAGATGAAAGAGACTCAAAAGACATATCATTGTAATGTTTAGGTCTTGTTTGGATGCTAAACCAACTGCAAAAAAGTGAGCAAGCGATAATTGGGGAAATTTGAACACTGACAGGGTATCTGATAATTATCAGGAATTATTCATTTTTAGGTGTAAAAATGACAGTGTAGTTACACTTGGGGGAAAATCCGTATATTTTAAATGTACTGAAATGTGGGTGAAATGATAAATCATCTGGAATTTGCTTTAAAATAATCTTGGTTTAGGAGTAGAGTTGGGAGGGAGTATAAATGAAGTAAGTGTGCCCGTGAGTGGATGATTATTGTAGCTACAAGAGTACATGCAAGTTTATTGCTGTCTGCTTTTGTGTGTATTTTAAATATTTTATAAAAGTAAACATTTTTAAAAAGAAAGAAAAATGAGGGAGAAGAAAAAGAAAATGATAGGTTTTAAAAACAAATAAATGTAGAGTGAAATCTTTATGGCATCTGTGTGAGGAAGAATTTCTCAGTCCACACACACAAGGTAAAAATTAATGTGAATGATTTTGACTATATTAAATGATAAAACTATTGCCAAAGAAAAAGACACTATGAAGTTAAGACAACAGACTATTTACAGCACATGTAACTGACAGAAAACCTTACTGCCAGAATATTTGACTATAGGTCAGTTTTTTTATATAGGTAAAATGAGAAAGTTGAAACATTTTTTTTAGAAAAAGAAATCCAACAAACAAAAAATCTTGCACTTCACTAGCTAGCCATCAAGAAAGTACAAATTATAACAATCCATCAAATTAATCCATCATCAAATGAACAAAAATTTAGAAATCTGACAATAGCAAGTATGTGGATAGATTATCCAGTTACATAATGGAATACCATAGAGCATTTAAAATTAGATCTGTCCTTACCAGCATGGGTAAGTCTCAAAAATACATTGTAAGATGACAAAAGCAGGTTGCAGAATAGCTTACAGAGTATGATAGAATAACAGAAAATTTTTTAATGCCCCCAACATTTCACTCTACTGCCTAGGAATACATATGCATGTCACAAAAGTATAAAAACATTAGTGGATTAGATATATACTTATTTGAGGATATTAATTGCTCCTACTTTCAGGGAGGAAAGGAAATGGGATCAAGAAAAAGAACTTAAGCAATCTGCCAGTGTGACAAAGAAGTTAAACTTCCTTAAATATCGAGAAGGGATATGTGGGTATCTGTTAGATTTCTCTCTTCGTTCTGTTTGAAATTTCATTTAACTAAAAACAAATACAATCTTTGGTTTTGAATGTCTTGTGACATTGAAACTAAGCAAGATACAAACAATGTGAAACAGTGATTATCTTAATTTGAATTCTTCTAGTTTTTCTACTTTTTAATCTAAACTATTAAATATCCTTTAGATAATTGAGTAAAATATAAGGATTTAAAACTGTGGTGTCCACTTCACCTGGAATAGAGACCAGGAGTCATTACCCACTAATTGGTGGACCTTGACCAAGTCACATAGCCTCTCAATACCTTGTTTTCTCATCTGTAAAGTTGACATGGTAATTTTAGCTTCTGAATAGAGTTGTTGTAGAGAATAGATTAGAAACTACATGTTTAAGGGGCGCCTGGGTGGCTCAGTCGATTAAGCGTCAGATTCTTGGTTTCAGCGCAGGTTGTGATCTCGCGGTCATGGGATTGAGCCCCAAGTCAGGCTCTGCGCTTGGCATGGAATCTGCTTCAGATTCTCTATCCCTCTCTCTCAAATAAATAAAATCTTTAGGAAAAGAAACTACATGTGTAAGTGCTAAAAAGATGCCCAACACATGCTAAACACTAATAAGTAGATTAACAAAATAACAGTCATCCCTAATGAGTTATTTGGATTTACACTCATTTTACAAAAGTTTGATAAAGATTTCCATTGTTTTTACAAAAATTATTTTTGAATCCTAATCAAAGATTCTAATTTGCTGCTGAGTGCTTGTCAACTTTAAGGATGCGAAGATCAGCTACAGTAAATTCACATAGATATACTAACTTTTAGAAAAATAAAAATTAAAACTTCAAAGAAATGCTTCCTGGGGGCGCCTGGGTGGCTCAGTTGGTTGGGCGACTGCCTTCGGCTCAGGTCATGATCCTGGAGTCCCGGGATCGAGTCCCGCATCGGGCTCCCTGCTCGGCAGGGAGTCTGCTTCTCCCTCTGACCCTCCTCCCTCTCATGCTCTCTGTCTCTCATTCTCTCTCTCTCTCTCTCTCAAATAAATAAATAAATAAAATCTTTAAAAAAAAAAAAAAAAGAAATGCTTCCTGGGCCAATGTTCATGTTAATTCTGAGGAGGAAATTACAGTATTTGTACCATAAACAGTATCTTGAATGAAGAATGAAAAGGGACCATATTCTTAGGACATGAGTCATAATTCCTTAAGTTAAAATATGGTTGTGTACACATTATTAATTTATTTCTTTATCCTTGCTACTTTGTTTCCTTTTTCTTCTACTGCTGGACAAATTGGAGCATTATTGTGGTTTCAAAAAGACTCAAGCCAGAGATTAGCCTGCTCTTTACAGCCTTATCCATCTTGTTTTAGCAGAGTCAAAAGGGCCCACGCTCATAATTAGCCATATTGTGGCTATGCACACTTCTCAGTGTTTCACTGCCCATGCATTCTTATGGCTAATGGACTACCTATAAAAAAAGGTCATTTATCAGTGCAACTGTGAATCCATTTTCTTTGCCAAATTTGGCTAGGCTAAAATTTTTCAGTCACCAGCAGTTTAGCAATGGGTTTTTTAAGTGTTATTGTTGTTACTTAAAAGCAAGCTGGTTATAAATTTGAAACCAACAGGTAAAATGCATAAAATCTTTAATTTGCATTCTCATTCCTAACAGTATAACATTCAGGCTTATCCAACAACAGTGGTTTTCAACCAGTCCAATGTTCATGAATATGAAGGACATCACTCTGCTGAACAGATCTTGGAATTCATAGAGGTATTTATTTTTAAATGGTTTTTGGTTTTGTGTTGTTTTGTTTATTATTATTTATTAAAGCAGCATTTAGAGCAAGTGAGCTTTTAGGGAGGTTGAGCAGTATCTCCAATCAGACTGTCAGGAAAATAGAATAATAGGCTTTCCATTAATAATTAAAGGATCATTTCCAAACCAATCATTGATTCTGGAACAGAACTATATGGCCTGTGTAGACATCTGGACACCTCTTAGAACTTTTTGTCCCATTTACTGTCACCTTAAAGTTGCCTCTGTTCCCTACCTAAGATGATTTTAATGATACATAGAAATAAGAAAAAAATATACCTTGATTTAAGAAGGTTGATGGGCAAAGCCCAAATTAACAAGGAATAATTTCTTTTAAACATCCATAAGTATCTTGATTATTCAGAAATAGGAACTTTTCTAAGCGACAACAATTTGCCAAGAATATAGGAACACCTTTTTATATCTGTTATAATGAACGTTATATTCTCTTTAGGATCTTATGAATCCTTCAGTGATCTCCCTGACACCCACCACTTTCAATGAACTAGTTAAACAGAGAAAACGTGATGAAGTGTGGATGGTTGATTTCTATTCTCCGTGGTGTCATCCATGTCAAGTCCTAATGCCAGAATGGAAAAGAATGGCCCGGGTAGAGTAGTTTATTTTAAATCTTAAAATGTAGCATGAATGTGTATTTAACAGAACTATTTTGAAACTGAGATGAACCCACCTTCTAGATTGTCACTTACAACAGTTCTCATTATACCAGTTAGATTTCAACTCTGTTTCTGTCTGGTTGGGTGAATGGTATAATCTTCCTTTTTTTTTTTTTTCCTGTGTCACTTGTTTGGTACATATCTGACCAAATTTCTGCCCAAGTCGACCCAAAAATCCCTTTATTTTCTATACAAATAGTGTTATAAATCATAAAAGATTGGAAAAAAGTTACTTTTAGAGAATGGAAAATGAAATCGCTGTTTTATATTTCTAAGAAAAAGTGAACAAACCAAAGAGTTAAAAGTGATTTCTAGTATCTTAACATTTAAGATAATGCAATTTTGTGTCCTGAATTTTCAGTAAAATTTTAAAATTTGGGCATGATTCAGTGTGCTGCAATGTAGGTCTCTATTTGAAAAATAACTTTGAAATACCATTGCAGAGACCTTCATTATTCCTTGTTTCTGACACTAAATTTTAGAGATACCTAATTTTACCCCCACAAAGAACATGAATGAAATCTGTTGTTCAATCTGTAATAATTGTAGTAAGGTCTTAACTCCAACTACAATTTCAGTTCATTACTGTAAGTGTTCTATTATGTTTTAAACCCTTAATTTGGTGAAAATCACTGATAAATAATAAGCATCTCACAGTAATAATTTTTCTATTGTAAATATAAATAGTTATGTAGGTAATTTTATTCTAATCACTTTGATCTATTTATCTCCTCTTTTTCTCTTTTATAGACATTAACTGGACTGATCAATGTGGGCAGTATAGACTGCCAACAGTATCATTCTTTTTGTGCCCAAGAAAATGTTCGGAGATACCCTGAGATAAGATTTTTCCCCCCAAAATCAAATAAAGCTTATCAGTATCAGTAAGTGTTGCCTAAAATTTAAAGACATTTATTATAACCATTTATTTAAGCAAAATTTAAAAGTTATCTTAGGGGTTCCTGGCTGGTTCAGTCAGAAGAGCATGTGACTCTTGATCTGAGGGTCATGAGTTTGAGCCCCACGTTGGGTGTAGAGATTAAATAACCCAACAAATATTTTTTGGGAGCCCACCATGTTTTAAGATCATGTGCTAATGAGAACCTCTGAAGATGAAAAAAGAATTGAATGATCCCAGTACTCATGAAGCTGGCACACCAGTATAGAAGAAGAGAAACAGAGGAAGTACTAACATTTAGGAAGTCAGTGTTGGTTTCAGGTACTATACTAGATCCTTTGCTCATGGTATTCCCACTAGTCCTCACATATACCCTGAGAAATAAGAATTATTGCCCTTCCTCCTATACAAATATGTAAACTGATTAACAGACCTTAAGTCCCACAGCTGCTAAGGTTTGTAATTGAGGATTCAGCCCAGTCTGTGTCAGTGCCCATCCTATTTCTATAATACCACACAGCATTTGAGGTAGTAAACTCAAGTGCAAGGTAGAATATAAGGAATATTATTTAAAAGGTAAAACTGAGCCATGGATTGCATAGGAGGAAAGGATTACAGCTATGAGAGGAGATCATGAAAGGCTGCATTTATGAGGTGGCTTTTGAAATGCATCTTAAAAAGTACTTAGGAATTTGACAGACATAATGACCAGAGTAAAGGTTCTGAAACTGAAGTCTTAGGCATTTGGAGTGTTACCATTCCCATGCGTCTATAGGAGATGTCTAGCGGGCAGCTAGACATTCAGGGCTGTCTTGAGCACAAAAAAAAAAAAAAAAAACATCGAGACTAGAGAAAAATATATTTGGGAAGTCATGTAAGCAGCATTTATAGCTAGGTGTATCTGAGAAGGGAAATGGTATGTAGTCAATAAGTTAAACTTTTCAATTGCTGTAGAGAGATGGTTTTCTGAACATATCCAATAATAGAAAATAGTACTTAACAACTTACATATTTTTTTCTTCTTTCAGTAGTTACAATGGTTGGAATAGAGATGCTTATTCCCTGAGAATTTGGGGTCTAGGGTGAGTAATCAAAATATACATCATTGTATAAAATAGATTCAGTGCTATTTACCTTCCTCTTATGTCTGTAGTTACAGGCTGTAGCATTTTACATTACTTAGTAAAGAATTACAATTTACCAAGATAACTTGGAAGTCATTTTTAACTTAGAAACTTCTGCAATATTATATTTTAGATGTTTGCTTTGGTTTCATGTAATGAAAAATAATTTTGATCCCTTGCCACAGATTTTTACCTCAAGCATCCATAGATCTAACACCTCAGACTTTCAATGAAGAAGTTATACAAGGGAAAAATCATTGGGTGGTTGATTTCTATGCTCCTTGGTGTGGACCTTGCCAAAATTTTGCTCCAGAGTTTGAGCTCTTGGCTAGGGTAAGTCTTGTCTTTCTACTTAGATAAGTTGTAGTCATATGCATGTTTTAATAATTAGATAAAATAACAGTTATTTAGGGCACCTGGGTGGCTCAGTCGATTGAGCGTCTGCCTTTGGCTCAGGTCATGATTCCAGGGTCCTAGGATTGAGCCCCATGTCCAGTTCTCTGCTCAGTGGGAAGCCTGCTTCTCCCTCTCCCTGCCATCCCCCCTGCTTGTACTCTGTCAAAGAAATAAATAAAACCTTTAAAAAAATAAGTTATTTAAAAATTAGATAAAATGATTAATTATATTTTAAATACAATTCTCTTAAAAGTTTTCTGTGAATTTTTTTAAAACTCCATTTCATTGGGGTGCCTGGGTGGCTCAGTTGTTAAGCGTCTGCCTTCGGCTCAGGTCATGATCCCGGGGTCCTGGGATCGAGCCCCACATCGGGCTCCCTCCTCCACAGGAAACTTGCTTCTCCCTCTCCCACTCCCCCGCTTGTGTTCCCTCTCTCGCTGTGTCTCTCTCTGTCAAATAAATAAATAAATAATCTTTAAAAAAAAAAACAAACCTCCATTTCATTTCTATGACTATAATCTTCGCACATTTCTTCCTTCTTTATTAATGCTGTTAGCTGAAATCTCTGTCTTGATTGAGGACTCAGAACAGCCAGACACCTCACTTCTTCTGCTTGTTCCCTTTTTCTTTCCTTTACTCATCTGATGGCCTGGCAAGCGGCATCTGTCTCCTACATGCCTTTCCAATCTGTCATCTCCTCTCCATCTGCTCTGCTAGCCTCTCTGTTCAAGCCCTCATCATCTCATCTAAACATGTGTGCCTTTGAACTAGTCTCATGTTTCAGTTATGCCCTGATCATCTTTCTGAAATACTCCTTTCTCAGGCTTCCTGTGAACAAGTTTCTGGACTTGCATCGTTGGTTGCAGGTCTGCGATGGGACCCTTCATACCTCTTCAGCTTTTTCTCTGTCCCACCCCACACCTTACAGTTCAGGCACAACAAAGTACTTCAGATTTGTTGAACAAATACGTGCTGTTCCCTCTCTCTAAAATGCCTTTTCCTTACCTTGGGCATCTGGATCTTTTTCTCCTTATCCTACAAAACCCAGCTTCAGTTGGCACTTCTGTGTTCACTGTCCTTCTCATTCAGTTCACTTTGATATCTTGTACTCCATTGGTGTACTTACACGATGGATGTTAAATATTTATTTAGTTACCAATCTCCTCCATAAGACTGAGCTTCTTGAGGGCAAGTTTTACAGGTCTTGTCCAACTCAGTAAATGCTTATAAAACTTAACTGAATGTATAAGCTGAATGCAATCTGAGTTTTTGTTGTTTCTGTCACCACCATCCTGCTCATTAGTTAATCCAGATTGTTAGCTTCCCTTGCTTCGAGGAGCTTTGCCATGGGCTATAAAACACTCACTAGAATGAGAAAGCTCCAGTTTCACCAGCCTAAAACAAAACCTAAAATCCCAAGCCATCGAGATTTCTTTAGCAAAGGGATTTCAGAGCTCCCCGGAGTCGTAAAAGATTATTTTAGTTCTTGGATTGTCCTTCAAATAGAAGGTCATTCATTTTCCACTTACTAGATCTTCTCCTCTTATGCTTCCTTTTTCTCTAGTAATTCTAACAAAATGTTTTTGCTCCCTTTGTATTTAGCTTATTTTGTAATGCAACCGTATCTTGAATATAGCAGAAAGTTATTCAGTATGAAAAAGATCATAGCCTGAAGAGCAAGTCCAAGGTCTGATAGAGAGGGACTGGAGGCTATAGGTGTAGCTGTCAGCCTTCCACAAAACGAAGAATGTTTGCTACCTCAGCCTGTGAGCCAGAGAAAGGAAGAAGGCGGGTGAGGACAGAATCTGAGGTGTTTGTGGTGTGATGGACAAGGTGTGGGTACCAGAGATGAAGAGTTTATTTGCTCTGGAGAGGTGGTTCTGCGTAAATAGGTGTTTAAAGAGCCAGTAGAAAGTTGGAAGCAATCTTACTAGGATGGAAAGGATGAAGCTTGTCTTTAAAATTACAAAGATTTGGAAATATTTCTATCATGTTGCTTTGTGGTTGCCAATATAGTCTATGCCACAGAGAATGGCAAACCATATTTCTCTCTTTTCAGATGATTAAAGGAAAAGTGAAAGCTGGAAAAGTAGACTGTCAGGCTTATGCTCAAACATGCCAGAAAGCTGGTATCAGAGCCTATCCAACTGTTAAATTTTTTCCCTACGAAAGAGCAAAGGTACGTACAAGGCCTTCCTATATGTGCCTTTCCTTTAGCAGACCAAGTTGAAAAGGTTTATTAGTCTGAATGTTTTTATTAGTTTTTTCTCCCTTTGTCATTTTTTATTTTATTTGTATATGTGAAAAGAAGCTTCAGTAATACGCATCAAGTGATTTTAAAAGGTTTTTCTGTCTCAGTTTATATGATCCACTGCCTTAAAATTTTTATACTCCTGAATTACAGAAACTACTGAAGAGACATACCAGAATACTAGTAGTAGTTTTCTGTGAGTGGAGAATTTAAGGTAATTATTTTCTATGAAGTTCTGTATTTCCTACTTTTAGAAAAATAAATTAAAAGAATACTATCATATTTTTTAAGTAGACCAGTACCAGAACATTTATCTTGAGAAATATTTATTAGTGATTTAGACTACAAAATAAAAGATAGGGTTCCTTGGTTTGGTTATAACTCCCTTCTCTAGGCCACTATGTTCCCCCCCCCCCCCCCCAAAGAAAACTAGACATCTACTGATGGGTCTTAAAATTCAGGTGATAACCCCTATGGTCATTTATATGCATATATCTTTCAACCAATATAATTGCTAACTGAAAGTACTTATGACTTTTGCTATCTTCCTGAGTAAAAGCATGACATTTTTGACAATAGAACTGTAATTAAATAAGGATTTGCCATGTATTCATGTTTTCTGGTAAAACATTTGAAATAAGTCATTTCAAATATTTTTATACTTTTTGAGAAAGAACTTCAGCTTAAGATCTCATGTTATTTATTAGAAATTATATTTTGGAGTTAAATAATGAAATTGGATGATGAATTTCAGAAGTCTAGTATTGTCATCTAGATTTTTCAGTGAAGGATTTTGATTTGTCAAAGAGGTTAATTCTGTCTTCAGAACAGCCTGGGGTAAGCAGAACTCAATGAGAGTAAAAGGAGCTCACACCAGTACCTGAATCTTCATTCCTTTGGAATCATTGACTGTACTTTGATTCTCAGAACAGCTGAGAAATAGGTGACATAGATAGGGGTCTTCACTCAGAATGATGTTAGGGAAGTATCAATATAATGAGCAGTCACAGAATTATCAGGCCATTGAAGGAGCTGTTTGAAAAGATGATGTTACCATGTGTTTAGAGAAGCCCAGAAGACATTAGGACTCCAAATATCCCTGCCCAAACCGAGAGACGGGGTGGAAGACCAGGCCAGATTTGAAAACCAAAGCAGAACAGTGATTGTGGTAAACAGCAGTACAAATCAGGTGGGCAGAGTAACACACAAAAACAAGATCCTAACATATAGTGTGGAGTTCCCACCAGGAAGGAGGAAATAAATGATTCCAGATCCAAGATAAACAAGCCTGATACATTGACCTGCCCCCTTCCCTGCTTTTTAACCACCTTCCTGCTGTGAGCAGATGAGAACCAGGAGACATATATTACTTTGCAGTGTTGTTGTTGATCAAGGTTTTAACTGTGCCTATGATTTGTATTAGATTAGAACAATTTGGGTCCTTTTCTTTACAGTTTAGTTATTTTAAGGCAACTGGAGTTAGCAATACATTTTTTCCAAGGAATTGTTTTACATGTTCCCATAACAGTATTGTATTTAAGTAAATTATGAGTTCACTGCTTTTGCTATTTCCTTGAAGAAATTTGAGTTTCAAACATTCAGAACTTTTAAGGAATACTTAATCAAATTTCTTATATGGAAATGTCATGTTTTGATTAGATACCTAAAGATTATAAGAGGATTGTTTTTAATTTTAGAGAAGTATTTGGGGAGAGCAAATAGATGCCAGAGATGCAAAAGAGATTGCTACCTTTATATATGAAAAATTGAAAAATCTCCAAAATCATGGAAAGAGGGATAAGGTAAGGACTAAATCTAGAGCTGACTTTGGCAAACATTATTGATAGATACAATGTACAGTAAGAATAGATAAACAGGTACAATGGAAGCTTCAAAAAATAGTAAAGTTGAAGTTTCTTAATTTGGAAAACAGGACAATCAGAGTGTAGCCTGTATACACTGATAAGCTTAGAAATTTGGACAAGTAAAACCATTTAACTCAAAATAGTAAACTATGGCCATAAATTATTTAAATTTTGTTCAAGTATAAAGCAAGCATTGACTTGGGAATAAATATACTGGAGCCTCATAAAATATTTTGTATAGCAAATTTTCTTCTGGTAGAGTCAGGATGTATTGGAACCATATTCATCTTTGCCCCTCCTTGAATTTTTATTTCTCAAGAGGCAGTGCAACCCATTTGCTATTCTGTGAAAGAACTGTTTTTCCCCCCTTTTTAAATCATTGTCATTCTAGGACATACTTACAAACAGACCAAAGAGTACTGGAGTGCTTTCTGAGTGGAATTTAATAAAATCACGCATGAGGTTTTTTGGATTCTTTCCCTATAAGGTGAAAGAAGGCCAAAAAAGAACACAGTTTCTGGAAAGGGCTAGAGCTGTCTGGCTTTATAGAACCATATTAGAACTGCAGACTCCAATATAGAATCCTTACATCCTGTAGTGAGAGTTATAAATCTTTATTTTCTTGGGTTTACAAAAATATTTTTCTGATGTTTTGACTTTGTTAGCTTCCTCAAGAGGTTTTAGTGTGTCTCTTACCTCAAGTTAAACATTTGAAGTAGAAAATGTTACTAGTCATGAACCAGAATATCGTAATTGAAATTAAATAGTCACACTGGTATGTTTTTAAATTTAAGTGTAATTAGTAGTATCTGCATGGACAGGTAAGAACTAAGAGATAGCCTTTTCCTTTCTATTATTTCATACGGTGATCCATTAATTATTTTTTAAAAGGTAAAATACTAAACTAACATTTTAATAAAAATTCATACTTTTTCAATCACTTTTTACATTACTGTAGGATGAACTTTAATGATGGTTGAAGATGGAGAAAAGGAATTCTAACAAATGACATCAGAAGACATCTTTTTAGGATGTTACTACATTCTTGGTGGGAATAAATGAACATTATGTTGGACTTGTAATTGCACTGTCTGAATTCTGTACAACACTGGTATAAATAAAAGGTCTGCAAGCTTTTTCTGTAAAAGGCCAGATCGTAAAGACTTTAGGTTTTGTAGACCATATACAGTTGTCACATATTCTGTTTTTTTGTTTACAACCCTTAAAAAAATGCAAAAACGATTCTTAGCTCAGGGCCATACACAAACAGGCCACAGATTACTGACCCCTGGAAATGACGTTAAAACTGGCTGGCTCAAACATGAGCCTGCTCTATTATGTACATACATGTCTAAGTTGTACAAAACTGGACTCTATTCCTTAAAGTTTTGTGGCTGGCCTGAAAAGAAATAACTTGGTTTTAGTCGACTGCCTGTTCTAAATATTGGATGAAATGGATTCTGTTTCATTTAAAAAACACAAGTTGTGGCAAACATACCCTATTTTCATGCTGTATTATAGTGAAGCGATTTTTCATTTTCTTTCCTTTCTAAAGGCTGAACTGATTTTGTAATAATAAATAAACCCAGTAGATTTCTACAGCATCTAGAAATACCTGAGGAAAACAATATTTGTAGCTATTAGCTGGGCACTGTAGAATATCTCAAATATATCAAGTATTTAGAGGTCTGTATTTTAAACATATGTGTTCATTTATTTTCTGAATTGCTTTCTTAAAAGTTTTATCCTGTGATAGTAATTGACTTTTGAAGTATTGTTCTAATACTTATAGTTTTGCCTTCTGGACTTTGTTTTGATACAGATCCTTTATTTACATTTGCCTTCTCCCCTCCCTCCACCTCCCCATAGCTGTGGTTTTTCACTAGTCTGATTTCTTCATTATTCAAATCGGAAAAGTAACTTTGCAGCTTTGTTTCACTGTAGTTCATATTGACACTGCAGTTATTCCATTTATTAGTTTGCTGTTGAATGCTACCATTTTCAGACAAATATTGGCATAACTGAACTTATTTTTGTAAGAAAATCAAGTATATAAATCTAAGGATGGGATCTTTTCATTTCTCAGTTGTTCGGACTAAAAGAATCCAAAATTTTCCTTGCATCTAAACAAAACATGTCAACGTGCAGTTGTTTAGTTACAATTCAGAGTGTATGGAATGGTAAAAACTCCAGTTGATCAAAAGAGGTCAGCAAATTGAAAAGTTATCCCAAAAACTTATTAGGATTATGCTTTATTATATTAGAAGAGTTTTATTTTTTTAATGTAACTATGTCCTTCCCAATATTTCCTCATAAAGATAATTATTTTACCACTGCAGTATCTACAAAGACAAATTTTATTTTCAAGTCTAACCTTAACTCATATTCTCCCATTTTGCTTCAGTTGAATCCTTTCAGTCCTACTACCCTTGGATTCCAGTTCACTTATGTGGGCAGTTACAGACCAATTGCCACTTCTAACTTTAATACCACCTTTTTGAAATATGATTAGTAATGGCAAGTGCCTTTCATGTGTTAAATTTTCACTGCCTAGAAATCTCAAAATTGGCTTTCCACAATAATCCCAAAATGGAAGACCTAAAGAAGTCTTGGTAACTGTTTATTGAATTAATGTACCAGTTATGCAAATACCACTGTGCTGGACACTGAAGCATGTTTAGAAGGAATCCAAGGGTTGGTTCCTGTCTCCCAAGTGTCTGTAATTCACAGGTCTGACACTGAACCCATAAATAGGTTTATAGGTACCTGTACTACTACCTATAAATGCAATTCCAAACTTACTGAGAAACATTTTAGGCAGTAAAAAAAAAAAAAAGCAAACATTATGTATCCTGTAACTTGGTCTAAGTATGTGCCTATGGAATTGGCTCTAAAGCCAGGGCTACTGGGAGTTCTATTAAATATTTATCCTACAGTATCCAACTGGAGGCTATTTTCTGCAAAAATAAGTGTCATTGAGTATCTCAAGAACAGCTGGCAGAATTAAAGGTTTTAACAGCCATGTAAGTGCAGTAGAGCACCTCTGAAGAGTGCCAGGTAAAACGTGCCATTTCTCTCAGCAACACCATTTTTGTGTGCAACTGCCCTTGGGTAACAGAGCACCATTTCTAGCAGACTAGAGAGTATTCTATCAGGCAACTGTATTTGAAAATTAAATATTTAAATATGTGGCTATATAAAACAGTTTGGAGTTTGTGTTTTTGATATTAATGATGCTTACCTATTCCATTTTCCCAAATTCTATTTAAGATTTTTTATATCTTTTTTACTTAAGGTATATGATTAAGATAAAGGAAAATGAAATTATTTTTATATTGTAAAAGTTTTCTTTAAATTTATGCTTTGTTTTCTAACAGTGTTCAAAGCAGGAGTTTTCTTAAGTACAGTTATCAGAATTGCTGTGTTGTTGTTTCCTGTGGGACACATTTACAAAGATACTTAGAATATGAAAAGTTTTAATGAGGTAATATTTTTCAGCCCTTTTAAGACAGATTTTTTTTGTATAATTAGGCCATAGGTCTACCAAACTCAGATGTCTTAAATTAGACATATTCAGTCCACCGTGACTGTTGTTAAATAGTACAAGGTTAACAAAATGTATTTTAAATTTCCTATAATTATTCCTATAATTGATTCTGAGGATGAGAAGAAAATAATCTTTCAAGTAGTATGCTACTTTACACATAAACTAAAACTTTCAAATACACCTAAATTCCTCTGATGAATAGCTTATTGTCAGTAAGAGTAATGAAAATTTAGGTTAGCCACTAGGCTAAGTAGAAATGTATTACTGATCATACACCAAAGTATTAGTGATTAGCCACTTGAGTCTTTTTTATATTTAACACTAAATTTGCACTTAGGTTCTTATACTGTCACCCAATCCGCTTGTTAGCAGTTGGATCTATTTTGTGAGAAGTGACTAACCCAAATTATGGCTGCAGGCTAATGCCAGACTAGCCAATATGATATCTTGATCACTTGGTTACACTGGTCACTTGAGTGCATTCCTTAGTACCTGCTGTCCTGTTAAAAAAAGAGGTCAAAAACCTATTCAAAAAGATCTGTGCTAATGTGCACAAAAAAGTGTTCTATATTAACTACTGATAGAGAACTCTTTATTAAATAACTGCTATTCTAAACATTTTAATATTTTACATCCTCAAATTAAAAAAAAGGAATTGGTTCCAGTAGAAGATGGTGAGAAAAGAGGCTCCTGAACTCAGCTCCTCCCATGGACACACTGAATCCACACCGTGTACAAAACAATTCCCTCTAAAAGAAATCCAGACACTAGCCAAGTGACTCATATCCATCAGGTTAATGAGAGAAAAACCCACATTCGTCTGGGCAGAAGAAGCTATGACACACTCTCCTCATACACCCCATCCCCCAGCGCAATGCCACAACAACGAGGGAACTCACGAATGCCAACCAAGAATACGCAGCAAAATTGTCCTTCAGAATTAAAAGAGAGATAAGCAAAAGGTGAAGGAATTTATCACCACTAGACAAGCCTTACAAGGGATGTTAAAGGGACCTCTTCAAGCTGAAATGAAAGGGCATTAATTAGTAAATACAAAACATATGAAAGTATCAATCTCACTGGCCAAAGTAAATATATACTTAGATTCTGAATACTCTAATGTGATGCTGGTGGGTCCATCATTTATAAATCTATACTAAAGATTTAAATGTCATATCAGATACACAAAAGGAGAGTAAAGCAGTAAAGTTTTTATAGGAAAGTTAAATTATTAGCATAAATCGACGGATGGATTTAAAGATGTTCTATGTAAGATTCATGGTAACCACACAGCAAAACTTATAATAGATGCACAAAAGCTAAAGAGAGTTGGGGTGCCTGGGTGGCTCAGTTAAGCATCTGCCTTCAGCTCGGGTTGTGATCTCAGGATCCTAGGATCAAGCCCTGCATCAGGCTCTCTGCTCAGCAGAGAGTCTGCTTCTCCCTGTTCCTCTGCTCTCCACCCTCTGCTTGTGCTCGCTCTCAAAATCTTAAAAAAAAATAGAATTAAAGTGAATCACTACAGAAAATTATCAGCTCACAAAGGAAGACTGCAAGAGAGGAAGAAATGAACAAGAGAACTATAAAACAGCCAGAGAACAATTATGAAACAATATTAGTAAGGCCTTGCCTATCAATAATTAAATGTAAATGAATTGAATTCTCCAATCAAAACACAGAATAGTTGGATGGCTTGAAAAAAACAAGACCCAACTATATGCTGCCTACTAGAAACACTACAGTTTTAAGGACACACATAAGCTCAGGAATGAAGAGAAGGAAGCTGTTACAAGCGGAACCCAAAAGTTGATAAAGCTATACTTATCTGACAAAATATACTTTAAAACAAGGACTGTAATAAATGACAAGGTCATTATATAATGATAAAGGGGTCAAGCAGGATGTAACACTTGTAAATGTTTATGCACCCAAATTAGGAGCACCTAAATACATAGAGCAAATGTTAAAGAGTTAAAGGTAGAAATAGATAGCAATAAAATAATAGTAAGGTATAACAGTCCCCACCCACTTTCATCAATGGATAGATCAGACAGAAAGATCAAGACAGAAAACATTGGACTTAAACTACAAGTTAGACCAGATGAATAGCATTTACCACCCAAAAGCAGACTAGACATTCTCAAATGGAACATTTTCCAGGTCAGATCATGTGTTAGGCCCAAAACAAGTTTTAGTAAATATGATGTTTCATATTTCAAGTATCTTTTCTGACCATAATGGTATAAAATTAAAAATAACAAGAAGAGAACTAGAAAAATTATATATGTATGGAGATAAACATGCTATCAAACTATCAGTGGGTCAAACAAAAATGCCTTGAAACAAATGAAAATACAACATAGTAAATCCTATGGGATGCAGCAAAAGCAGTTCCAATATGTTTATAGTGATCAAAAATCTACATTAAGAAAAAGGAAAGCTCTGAGGAGAGGGGAAGATGGGAGCAGAGTAGGAGGACCCTAGGCTTGCTGTGTCCCACGAATACAACTAGATCACTACTGAATCATCCTAAATACCCTAGAAATCGATCTGAAGACTGGCAGAACAAACTCCACAACTAAAGGCAGAAAAGAGGCCACATCAAAGAAGGTTGGAAGTGCAGAGACACAGCTTGGGAGAGAGACAGATTGTGGCTGCTGCAATGGAGAGGGAGCCATAGTCCTGGAGAAGGGCAGGAGACGCGCTAGCACACAGGGAAAGTGAATCCCCATAGTAATTGGCTTGGAAAGTGAGAAGATCCGAATTTCATGAGTTCTTAAAACCAGCAGGATTTAAAACCTTGATTATAAAGGTTAGCATGCTTGGCTCTGGGAGAGCTTGGAGGACATTGGGGCTACTCTTGGAGAAAAGGAAGGACAAACAACCCATGGACACACAATGTGGAAACAGCTAATGAAGAGCACAAAGGGCACACAGTGAGGTTAGTTGTTCATCTTGAAGCACATTCCAGAGAGGCAGTATTCACAGAGAGATCTCTGTAGGAGCAAAGGAACTGGCAAAGCCATTTCCTTCACCCATCCCCTCAGCATAAGCACAGGGCTGTCTGTGGGAACCAGCACAGCACCCACACTCACTACCTAAGTTACACCATGATCTGTCACCTTCCCAGTCATGTTTACCTGAGTCCCAGCATGGGGGGAGAGGGGGGCCTCCCCCAGAAGAATGGCCCAAACCCCTGCCAACACCACAATTTCTGACCCAGAAGTTTTCTTTTTTTTTTTTTTTTTTTTTAAGATTTTATTATTTATTTGAGACAGAGAATGAGAGAGAGAGAGCACATGAGAGGGGGGAGGGTCAGAGGCAGAAGCAGGCTCCCTGCCAAGCAGGGAGCCCGATGCGGGACTCGATCCCGGGACTCCAGGATCATGACCTGAGCCGAAGGCAGTCGCTTAACCAACTGAGCCGCCCAGGCGCCCTGACCCAGAAGTTTTCTGAGGCCTTGGATCGAGTAGTGGTGGTGACAGGTCTCGTTTCATGAACAGACAAGAGCACACCTAGTTAAAATGCACCACATTCAGGCCAAGGACCAAACACTACCTGTGACAGGCAAAGAGAGCCTCTGCAGACGACTGACATGAAGGATAAAGTGGTCAGGGAACAACAGCAAGGCACATAGAGCATACACTGGAGATAATCCCCAAAGCAGCAGGCCCTGGAGAACAAAGGACACTACACTGCATGGCACTACAGGACCTATTCATAAAGCCATTGTCCTCAAGAACAGGAGACATGGCTGATTTACATTACACAGATAAACAGGCACAGAGACTTAGACAAAATGAGAACACAGAGGAATTCTTCCCAAATGAAAGAACAGGCTGGAGATCTAAATGAAACAGATGTAAGGAATGTACCTGATGGAAAATTTAAAGCAATGATCATAAAGATAATACCCAGATTTGGTAAAAGAGTGGAGAACATCAGTGAGACCATTAACACAGAGATAAGGAATAATAGAGCAGAGATAAAGGGCTCAATAAACAAAATGAGACACGTGTTTAGTGGAAAGAACAGGCTAGAAGCAGCAGAAGAATGAATTAATAACCTAGAAGACAAAGTAATGGAAAGTAATTAAGCTGAACCAAAGAGAGAAAAATTATGCAAAACAAGAATATACAGAGGGAACTCAGTGACTCCATCAAATGTAGTGTTGTAGGAATTCAGAAGAAAAGGGGGCAGATAATTTATTTGAAGAAATAAGAGCTGATAACTTCCCTAATCTGGGGAAGGAAACAGATATCCAGATCCAAGAGGCACAGAGAACCCCCAACAAAATCAACAAAAGTAGATCCACACCAAGACATATTGTAATTAAAATGGCAAAATATAGTGATAAAAATATTGAAGTCAGCAAGACAAAGGAAGAGAGTTACATACAAAGGAAACCCCATAAGGCTATCACCAGATTTTTCAGCAGAAACTTTGCAAGCCAGAAGGGAGTGTCATGTTATATCCAAAGTGCTGATTGAGGAAAACCTGCAGCCAAGAATACGTTATCCATCAAGGCTATTGTTAAGAATAGAAGGAGAAGGAAAGAGATTCCCAAACAAAAAGGAGTTCGTGACCACTAAACCAGCCCTGGAATATTAAAGGGAACTCTGAGTGGAAAGAGCAGATAAAAAATCAAGCATGAAGG